AGCATGGAACTTTCCACATAAACTAGACAGCCCTTAAACTTGACTCTAAAGATTCACCTGCCCCTCTCTCCTAAGTGCTGGTATTAAAGGTATCCACTACCACACAGTCTAAAAAACAGTGGTTAGCTATCACAAAGTAGATCATACTACCTTAACCATATGCATCCCATTAGACCCAAGGGCCCTTCCATCCTCCTCTATGGGAATATGAGCCTTCTCTCTATTCAAACAATACATCAAAAATCAGCTAGCTAATTTCATTAGAAAATTATTTCAACACATTATGGAACAGGTAATTCTGTATGCTATAGATAACTAAGAGATATAGTAAGAATATATAGCTTTAGGGAAGACAAAGTAGAAAGTTCCCTATTTCCCTCATTAATAACTTCTAATAACACTGGAAATTATATATCAAACATGAGAAAACTCCACAAGTAAGAGAGCAGAAGATAGACTGAACCATGCTTAATATAACAGTGAGTTCCCTGTGCTTTATCCTTCCTACATCTCAGAGTTATACCTAAAGCAACTGACAAGTGCAGAGAAATAATATGGAAAATGTTCCTAAAGTTTGCAACAGACAGAAGCCTACGGATCTAAGAATCCAGCAAAGCCCAAACTGGATAACCAGCAAGAAATTATAAGACCCATTATAGTCAAACTTATAAAATCAAAGACAAAGGAAAAAAAACCTAGTGAAATAGATACAACAGCTTCCTGGGAAGGAAAATCTGTTTGAATGACAATGAATTCCTTATCAAAACCCTTGGGCCAAAAGAAAGTGTCACATTTTTCAAACTGTGAAAATAAAAAAGTAGAACTGCCAACTAAGAATGTTCTACCCGGAGAACATATCCTTCAGAAATAAAGAAGAGCACAAGGCATTCTCAAACATAGAACAGTCAAGAGAATTGTCCAGCGACCTCTTCTGAAGTCATTAATTAGGAAATTCTCTAAACAGAAAGAAAACAAGCTCTTTGAAACAAAATAAAGAACATAGTATGCAAAAATAAGGGTGCGTGTCAGATAGCTTCTTCCTTCTGGGAGTTTTCTAAATAGTGCTTGATGGTTTAGAGAAACAAAATACTGTCTGACAGGAGTATAAACATGTGCAAGGAAACATTTTAATCGAGTATTATATAAAGTATAGAGAGTAAAATGATGTAGAGGTAAGATTTCTGTATTTAACTTAATAAAAAAATGACACCAATTAACAGTTATATAATATACTAAGATACTGTAGCAACTACTAAAATATATTCTATATTGTTCTATGGGATACAGCTCAGTAGCAAAGTGGCTGCTTGCCTAGCATTCAATAAGCCAAGGAACCCCAAGTTTAATCCCTAGTACACACACACACAAAGAATACAAGTAATTTTAAATGAATTTTTAAAATATGTTGATATAATCCACAGGCAGACAGGGAAAAGAAAGCAGAGAAAGGAAAGCAAATTACAAAGGATCAATGAAGCCACCCCACAGCAATAAGTACACTAAATATGTAAACAAAACGGCCATTACTAGAAAATTTTAAATAAACAAACAAAAAAAGAAAACTGTTGGCAGTGGCTTAAATGTATAATACAACTACATCCATATATGTATATATTCAATGAGATACTTCAAATATAAAATATATAGACACAATTGAAAATAAAAGGATAGAAAAGATGAACCACTCAATGCTAATCAACAAGAAAGAGGAGGGGTTGTATTGGTATCATCTGAAAGAGGTCATAGAACACAGAAAATCACCAGACCAGTGAAGGGCATTATAGATTGTATGATAAGAGTCTTGGCCCTGATGATACAGCAGTACTGTATCACATTAATTATAAGACATCCCTTTTTATATAACTTTTTTTTATTAAAAATAGGTTTGTTTTTTTTCACACAATACATTCTGATCATGGTTTGTCCTACTCCAACTCCTCCCAGATCCTACGCACCCACCCAAATCCACATCCTTATCTCTTTAGAAGTAAAACAGGTAAGATATTCTTGAAATGAAAAAGTTATGGAAACATAGAACAGATGCCTTTGGCAAGAATTAAGGGGGTAGAGGAGGGGAGAATACAGTGGCTGTGGTTGTAAAAGTTATTGGTAGTGACAGAAATGATAGAGCACACCAGTTGGTTATCCAGTCCCAAATGGTCAGCCTGTAACATTATACAGACTGAGCAGTTTGCATTTAGGAATATAAATGTGTGTGTGTGTGTGTGTGTGTGTGTGTGTGTGTGTGTGTGTGTGTGTGTGTGTATGCATGAAACGGTGATAATCGGCGCTGGTGGCAGCGCTGGTTGCAATGTGGAAAGGTCACTCTCACAACAGAACCCACTATCAGTATTCAGAGCTTTATTGGGAGAAAAAGGGAGAAAAGAGGGGACCAGGCCTGGTGAGAGAGACAGATGATGGAGTGGGGTTTGGGAGCAGAGCAGAGCTGGGAGCAGAGAGTGTGTGGTCTGCAGCCGGCACTTTAAGGCACCTATGTAGTCACCAGCATCCCCTGATGATGTAAGATGCAAGACACCGAGCTGCGCACGTACAGGAGTGAGGGCAGGATCCTAACAATGCAACGTGAAAAGAGGCCATGAATTGAAAAAGAGAAAGAAAGCAAATATGGGAGGGTTTGGAAAAAGGAACGAGAAAGTAGAAATGATGTAAGTATATTATAATCTCAAAAAATAAAAGAAGCAACTTTTAAAAAAATCAAAAAACAGGTAATGTGTGCCTAGGATCCAGTATGTACATATCTGTACTTGACTCAACACAAAATATTTCATTTAAAAATTTTATAAAACTTTCCATAACAAAACCGTAATAGTAACAACTAACAAAGGCCATTGAATAGGAAAATTCATATCAGTCTCATTCACTAATACAAATATAGAAACCCTAGGTTAAAATACTGACAAATCTAGTCAGAGAAACTTGGAGGTAGCTAGTTTTCATCTCAGCAGAGGATATTTGCTAACTAAAGAGTTTTGTTTTGGGATATTTATTAAGTAAGATCATTCCATTAAAATAATACATTTTTACTATTGCAATAACTTTCTAAATAGATGTGCAATAAAATTGAAAATCCATTTTAAAAAAATACAGAGTAAATCCTGTTATTAATCATCCACTATATAGTTTTTTTCAATATTCTCAGTCTTAAGAGTTTAAGTAGCCTTCACCAACTGAACATGGAAACAAATATTAAGGGTCATTAAGTAATCGTCACATTCAACCTCATTCAGGCGACTGCATTTCTTTAAGAAAGAAAGAGGGAAGGGGAAAGAGAGGGGAGAAGGAGGACAATCTCTGTTCTCAGTATAGTTTGGCAAAGAACCACTTACACTTACTGCAATATGAGCAAAGGATAGAGACTTCCAGATGTGCTTGTTGTCATAACAGATCTTTGTGTTAGCCTTAGTAACAATCCTGAAGTGCCACTGATAAAGAATGTCCATTCTGAATCAGAAAGTAGAATCACATTTATGCTTTCCAAACTGAAGTTACACAAAATGATAGCTCTATGACCCCTGTATACAGAGTAACCGATTTCATTGTTGGTAGCTCACAGCACACATTCAGATAGAAAAGCCTTTGAGAAGTTCATTGAAAGAGAAGTCTCTATACCTTTGTTTCCCCCTGTTTTTAACAAACTTATTTCACAGCAGCCAGTTCCTTAGTTAGCAGAACATCCATTCACTCATGTGTACATTCTATGAAAAACTGGAAGAACAAGGCATGAGATGCATTCCATAGGATCGGAATATAGAACAGCTATGCCAGTTTTGCTGTGTTCAGACTAAATTCTCTAGGCTTGCAAGGAACATTAGAATCTACATTTTAAAAAGCAACATCATTTGCAACAGCACCGAAAATGAGATTTAGTCATAAATTTGCTTATATGGTCTAAGTATATGCAAGAGTTGTATGTTTGACACAGCAAAATACTGATAAAAGAAATCAACACTTAGTTAGATAAATAAATAAGCAGGTAACATGGAGCTGGCATAATGGCTCAGCCAGTGATGGAAGGTGCTCATCTGGCAAGCCTGGCAACCTGAGTTACATCCCCCAAAGCCACGTGAAGGTAGAAGGAGAGAACTGACTACTCAGAATAGTCTTCTTACCTCCACACATGCCCACACACACATCATGCCCACACACATCATGCCCACACACATCATGCCCACACACATCATGCCCACACACATCATGCCCACACACATCATGCCCACACACACCATGCCCACACACACCATGCCCACACACACCATGCCCACACACACCATATCCACACACACCATGCCCACACACACCATGCCCACACACATCATGCCCACACACCATGTCCACACACACCATGCCCACACATATCATGCCCACACACATCATGCCCACACACACCATGTCCACACACACCATGCCCACACACACCATGCCCACACACACCATGCCCACACATGCCATGCCCACACACACCATGCCCACACACATCATGCCCACACACACCATGCCCACACATACAAATGCATATTGATTGACTTTTTAAAAACTTTTAAAAGAACTAAACACAGATATTTCATCATAACTTTATTTACTATATAAAGCAAACAATAGATGAGAATACACATGTGGGTAGAGAAGCATTTGATTGATAACTTTATATGCAATAAATGGGAGAGTTAATATTTTCACATCGCACTGAATACTTGGAAACCTCATACTTTGCTAGATAAAGTGAGTATGTGTATATATATATATATATATATATATATATATATATATATATATATATATAAAACATGGACCCAGTTATTATATACACACACAAAAAGCACAACAAAATATTAATGGCAGTTACTTCTAGAAGCTAGATCAGACAATTTTTCACTTTATTTTTCATACATTTCAACATTTTAATCAAAATAATTAACATTATTTTCAAAAGACACATGAAACAGAACAATTTCTTCCTTCTAAGAATTCTACTCTGTCCTTCAGGTATCACATCATTATTAATAATAATGCTTATTGAGCAGGAATAATCTCTTTTCAGCATGAAACATTTTGTATTCATGTAAAAATAATCGTAATACCTATTATTCTTAATAAGGAAATGTGCTCAGGTTGGATCATTTTTTACAAAATACCTAATGCTAGTATGTAAAAGAGAGTCTGACTTTGAAGGAAAAAAACTGTGATAGGCACCAAAACGTTAAAATTATTAATTAGCTAGGGAGAGGAGGAGGGAAGCTGGAGGCTGGAAGTAAGGAGATTGGCCCAAAGATTCACAGTCCATCTAATTAAGACAGCCAAGAAATAATCCAGAGATCCTACCATCGCCAACACACTGACACTTACACACACAGTTAGACCACACCATCCAACTGTCTTCCAAGACCTTTTCTGCTTTTTATCCCATGAATCCCTTAAGCCCTGCAGTTGCCCTGTTTTTCCTCACATGATCTTCTGTTCCAAAAATGTCTCTCCACTAAAGCACATGTCTAAGGGACATTTCACTACATTATTTTCAAGACAAATGAGTGACAGACCATAGCTTTGCTGGGAGTTAACTATTTCATCGACTTTGTTAGAGATAACTTTATGGCATACATCAGTGCTGAAAGTCACTTTTATGGAGAGATGGTTTCTCTTTAAGCCTCCAGTTTATTGATTTTTCTTCCTCTTTTGTTTTCTTCAATTGTATTTTTCCATTTGAACTTCACAACTCTAATGTGTGACATCATAAATTGCTTTGGGATATATATTATCTCGGAGACTCTGAACAATACACTTGTATCCCTTCCCAGAACTTGACAGCTCAACAGGATGGACCTGGGGCATTCCATTGTCTGCTGTTCCTTTCACATAGATTCAAGTTTCAAATAATTGTAAAACGGCCTTTTTTTGATGTAACATTGTGCCCTTCTTTGGTGATCTTTTCAGCTCAGCTTTGAAAAGAAAGAAAAATAGATCCCTCAGAGCGTGTACTTAGATTTGAAACTTTTTTTGTAAAGGTTTTCTCCCATAAATATAAGGGGAACATTTGATATCATTTTCAATTCACTGGATCACAGACTAATGTAGAGGAAAAGCACAGTCTTTCAATCACATTGAGGTTCCTGTCTCAGCTCCACAGAATGTTTAATAACTCTGTGACATCATTTACCCTCTCTAAGTCTCCATTTACTTTTATGCAATGAAAGTATAAAACCACCTTTCTCATGGGATATAATGATGAACAAATGACATTAATTAACCATGCTCTGTAACTGTTAAAATTTTCACAATTATTTTTATTCCACTTTGATCTATTATCACTAAAAATTACTATCCCATTGTGCCTGGCAGAGTCCAAGAGAAATTCACAGGTCTTATCGGCAGAGAGCAAAACAACACCTCTCCACGGGCAAGCTGTGAAAGATATACTTGGGTTTAAATTTTAAATTCCCCATTGACCTTTCTAAATCTAAGGCTAGAGGCAATCACTTTCTATTTCACAAAGGTCATTTATGACATAACCAACATAAGGTTGGTTAAATATTTTCTTAATTCACTTCAAATGATTTCCACAACAGAACTAGCTTGAAATACAAACTGTTGCCTAAATATATACATATATCCACTAAATATGTATATATCACATGTAATAAAAAAATGACATTTTTTATAAGTCTATCAATACACACATGTGTATGGAACATTTAGCACAGATACAGGGGCATCTATGATATTCTCTCTCTCTCTCTCTCTCTCTCTCTGCCTCTAGACTACATGAATGTGTGAATGCATGAATGCATTTATGTATAGATGGATCGATGAATGAATTAAACATCATAAAGTCTTCTCTCTTTCATTATAAACCAATAAAAATATTTTATGCACAGCTATATATATCCATGCATTGATACTCTATGAATTAGTGACAAATTCACTAACATGACCAAATTCACCTTATACCTAACTTTGATTGGATACTAAATACAGGTAAGTAAAATCTAATATGTGCCTCAAAAAGACAAGTACTTAGAGAAAAATGATAAAATTTACTCTGAAGGTATCAAATGTAACATGCACATTATCCTCATATATGCAATATATAAATATATAATACATATTACAGATATTCCTGGTAGGTTTCACTCTCTGTTAAAGGAACAAATTGATAGTTTTCTGGACAATGAAGTTCCAGTTCCTCTATCAAGCTTTTGTGTTGCCAATCTCAACTGGCCATTACTTTGTAAACATGTAACCCCCACTTTGGAGTTAAGAAATGCTAGCAGGCCTGGAGTGAGATGTGCTTTCAACATGCTCACAACACTAATTGTTTTTTAAAAGCTGTTGGAGGGAAAGAGAAGAAAAAGTTGAGTACGTATTACAAAGTCACAGACATACTACTGAGACAAAAATCTATCTTGACCCTTGTTCTCATTCCATCTGCTCTAGTGACTAGAGTGAGTTCACAGGTTCACAGTGAGTCAGGCTTCATTTACATCCTCAGAAACATCTGCAGTTGGGAACATTTGGCAGTAACACAACCCAAGGTGGAAACCCAAAGTGAGTGACAGGTTTGCTGAAGGTGTTGTCATGACCTGGGTAAATGTGATGAAGGTGCTATCCTGGGCTCAGGCACTAAAAGAACCTCTATGTCCTGAGGTGGCCTCAGGAACCAACTATGTCTTAACAGATAGATCCCTGACCAAATGAAGACATGTGACCAACTTTAAAAAAAAATCAACCAAAAAACACTAAAAGCAACCCTGAAATGGTGATAAGCCACAAAATTCTGTATTCTGAGTATATGCAAAAACCAAAGAGTGGGATCACCTCCTAACCCTGAGGATGGGGTGGGATTCCAGAGGGACCTTCTCAGAGACCCCACATCCATCAACTTGGCCCAACTTACCATTATCTCCTGTTGAACAACTGCACTGCTAGCATCCTAGCTGATCGTGTCCTCCATACTTGCTTCCCTACAATTCTACACTCAAGCAACCAGTGAAACACCCTTAAAGCATGAATCTAAGCATGTTACTCCTCTACCTTAAACTTGTGGAAGGCTTTCTACAATCATCTGAACTAAAATCCCAATGATGTGTCAGGGCAAATAAGGCCTTACTTGATGTGAACTTGTGCTAGATCTTCATTCCCTGTTTCTACTTCTCAACAGCTTCCTCTGCCTCATCCACCCTGACCTCCTTGTCCTTCTGCAGACTCTACAAGTGCCCACTTGTTTTAGAGTCCTAGGAGTTGCTAATCTCTCTACATAAATGCTCTTCCACCAATGTGCTAAATAATCCCTTCAGCTCTCTACAAGAGATCCATCGTCAGAGTGGCTTCTTGTAAACAGTGTGTTTAATTCCCATTTCCTTCCCTTATATCTCAGCAATATTCTTAGCATCAGATACATCTTTGTGTTGTTGGTTTATTTTCTTTCCTCCCTGACTAGAACGTGGGCTTTTGAAAATACATTCTGTTTGTTATCATTACAACAACATGTATAAAACTCAACACAATGCCTAACACATACAAAATGCCCAATACATGTTGTGGATGAATGAACATATCAATATAATTCCTGTTTTCAATGAACAATCAGCCAGTAGGGGCAATCCAGCCATGCACAGCTAGCTATATTGTAAGCCAAAGGGATTTAACAAATTATAGGGTAGCACAATGAAGATAAAATTAAATCTAGCTAGGGTTAGAGAAGGGGCAGAGTTTTCTCACACATACCAACATTTGGACACACACCTGGGAGTTTGAATTAGGCTGAAACAGATGAGATTTCAAAAAGAAGAGACACAGGGAGCAGTCTGGGCCCAGCACAAAAACCTGATTGCATAGACGTGATCAGTGTGTTCCCGGCACAGCAAACAGTCTTGGGAGACTGCCATCAGTGAGCTGAGTACAGGGAGAAAATGGAGCCTAGGAAAAGGGAGATGGATTTTAAGGGCTCTCCACTTCTAGAAGTGATACTGCTTTACCAAGTCAAACAATCATTTAAGAGTTTGTTCCAGATCAGACTCAGCTCAGCGCTAGAGGGGTAGCAATAGAATGCCCTGCACCCATGTCCAGAAAGTATACATCAGAGTACAGATTATACAAATGGGCAATCAGTTTCAGCTATCTTCCCTAACTTGCCTAATCTTTCTAAAATTTAGGGCTCACCATTTAATTCTCTAGAATAGTCCTTGACTCCTGTCCTTGCCTATAAAGTCTTTTTGGAAAACTCCTCTCTGCTATCCAAACCCCTCACTCCTGTATCCTGTCATCATTATGTAACAATTGGTATAAGTTATTCAGGTTAGGGTCAATAGTTGATCTAAAAGGGACAAATCCTGAAAAGGGGCAATTTTCTTCAGAGCAGATAATTTTTTTAAAGTCTAATCAAATTACTTTAGACCCAAAAAGAAAGACATCTCAATCCTATCTGCTATCTGATGAGTAGAAATCTCCTAATGTTAAGCCAATTGAATCTGAGTGGAAGAAAGAAAGCAAAAAGAAATCACACCTGATGATTTATTACAACATCATCAAAATGTGTAAGAAATCTTTTTTAAATTTGTGTAAAAGTTCTTAAAACAGGAGTACAGGTAGAACAGTAGGAAGCAGTATTTCATGTGTAATAAAATACAGTGGGGTATTATGTAGACCAGTATTTGTAGGAGTGTAGCTATATCACAGCACAGGCTTTTATGGTGTGCATTACTTGTGCTTGTATATTCTCACCAGTTTAATAATAGCCAAATGGGAAAGAATTTGTAACATGTTCTGCTCCCAGCCTTCTGCAAATCCTCTTCAAGATGTCAAGATGTTAGTTCTGACAAGTTCAAATCATAATCATGATAATTAGTATGTGACACTTTACAGCCTCTTCACCAACAGTACATGTTGTTCATTTGTCAACATATAGCTGCAGTATAGAAAATATTTATCACACAAACCACATTTTGAATCATTTAGGAACATTTTGATAAGCTAAACACACTGAAGGGTGCTTTCCATTACTGGCTGTTGTTTGCTTCCCCCTCTGAGCTATTTCTATTTCATTAAGATATGATTGTATAAGCTAAACTCATAATACTCCTTTTGCTTATTGAGTTGAGTCCCTCCAAATTCGTCTCTGATATGTAGATGTGTCATCACAAAGTTGACTCACTAACCTTAATAGATAAAATGCACATTGATACAATTCTCACACAGACAACTACAAGATTCTGCCAGGTAGCCATTTCCTAGTCACTGTAAGTGTGTGAAGAGGAGATATGATTGCTCTGTGTAAGGGTTCATTTCTCTTTTATATAAAACAGTATGAGCCCTGTGATACCAGAACCATCAGTAAAGTCTTAGGGTATTTTTATCCAAACATATGTTTTCTCATGGGAGTTCAAAGCTAATGCACCTCTCTGATTTTTTTCTTTTTTTATACAACCAGTTGCCTTAGAATAGCTTAATGAAATTTCTTTTCCAGACCAACATGGGGTTCAAGTTCAAGAACATATGGCACCTATGTTGGTTATCCAATTGAGGAAAAGAAATCACAAGAGTTTTATTCAGTAATGAGGACCTCCATAGTATCAAGTTAAACACCAGCTATTTGTATTCACGAGTTTAATATTGGACTATTTAAAACTCTTCCACCATATTAAGCAGTCTCAATGGTCTAATTACTGTGACAAGCCTGTGTATATCAGGACCTGTGGACCTCACTTAGCTTACTTCCTCTTGTCACCAAGAAAAAATAAATAGCCAGAACCTGACACTGCCCTTCTATGTGGCTTTAATGGCTCCTAGTTCAGTATTTCTGACCATGGTTGACCTGCCCCCATATGTAGAAGCCAATAAATACCTGCTCAGAGACACCTGGTATTTCCCCACAATGTCAGTTGGAGACTACGTAGTATGTACACCCTGGCCCTTTAGTTCTGAAATTTAGTGAAGCGTTGCACAGAGAGCAAATCAACATAATCAGGGAAAGCATGTGAGCAGTGAGATAGCACACTTAGAGAAATGACATCACAGAGTATTCCTGATGGCAATTGATAGCACACTTAGAGAAATGACATCACATAGTATTCCTGATGGCAATTGTCCTAAAACTGATTTCCAAGATATGTTGGCCCAGAATTATGATGCATTATTACAGTCTTCAAGAATGAGCACTTGTGGATTGAAAATACTAAAAACAGTACAAGCTTATGAGAAACTTCAATTGAATTGAAATACATGAAGGGATTAGGTCACAGAAAGATAAATGTATCTTTAGGCAATGTGTACCTGATAAATTGTACATAATCAAAAGTTCACCCACAGTCCCATTTCTGACTAAACAATCTTAGAATGAAGAAACTTACATCGCAAAAAGTAATTTCAAGAAAATGATGGCCTCTCTCCCAAAAGTTTTCATTTTTTCAGGGTTTATGGATAAGTTGTTATAGGGTTGGGGTGGAACAATAAAATCTAGACTCAGGATTCTTTCTGGAAAAGAGAAAAAAGGGGAATAGATAGGTATAAGATCTTAAGGTAGATTATTCTATCTACTAGTAAACTAATTTAGCAAACTATCAGCCTTAGATAATTTGCACTAATAAGGATTCTTGTATAATGATATAAATGTAAACTATTTTTATATTCCTTTTTAAGATAATTTGTATATTGATACAAATTTAAAACTATAATTGTCATATTGTACACATGTCCCTACTCCTATTTAAAATATTTTGTATATTGATACATATTAAAGATATTGTTATCATATTACACTATACATTTCTACCTCCATTTAAGATACTTTGTGTATTATCACAATTGAGGTCATTGTTCTTATACTGTACATCTGTTTACAGACCTTACCTTGCTAATGTGAAGCCTTAGTCCTTAGGTTATTCAGGTAGATAAGACTTACAGAACTATAGTCACCCATGCTTGTCATTCCTATAGTTACATTAGTTAGGTTCTCCAGATTTACAGAAACATAAGTCAGATGAATAGGTAATCTTCAAACACTTCATAGACCTAAAGAATATGGCATTTAAATGTTTTGATAACTTAGAATTCTGTTGACATGAGACACAATTGCTCCTGAGAGCACCAATCTATTCCCAAGAGAATGTTGGGCTTCTAAGACACTCTATTTGGAAATTTGTCTTCTTCTTGGCACAAAATGGCCTGCTGGGAAAGAACTGCCCTTGCCTTGACTGCTGACAGTATGAACGCTGTCCTTTCTGGATGAGCAGAGCACAAGGAAAAGTGACTACTGAACCTTGCCAAGACAAGATAAGATGGTCTTTCAAACTTACTGCTTCTGAAAATGGCCTGTCAGATATCATAGGCCTGTAGTCAAAATGGATGCCCCAATGATGCTGAGAAACTCTAGGTGACAGTCCAGGTTATGAGTTGTCTCTGTTTATTCTCATAATTTTTCAGAAATTCTTGCTTGCATTTCCTGTTTTCTCAGGTATTATTTTACATTCCTTCTCAGGTCTTTGATGGGGTTGAAAACTAAACAGTTATCACTATAATCCTCTCATATCTTAGCTAAGAACATTTCAGGTACTAAAGTTAGATATTTTTAGGACAGCTATTGGAGTAATCTCTATAACATGCCATTTACCTATGTTCTGGACATCTCTGGATTTTAGTATATGTCTCTTGTTTGATATTGTTCTTGCTGGTTGTATTTCTATTTTTGTTTAGGTTATTATTTTTCCCCTCTCCTGGACAATACTTGATAACCATTCCTATTGTATATAGTTTTATACTAGGTTAGAACTTTCTTATTTAGACAAAAGAGGAAGATGTACTGGATACCTGTTCTATGACCCTGAAGCACAGCCCTAGAGACATAGAAGATAACTGCTCTACATGCCCATGACCTTGAAGTACATGCCCCTGGGGTGTGGCCTCTTGGCTACCCTTAACACCTGAGATGCACATACCCAGCTCTCTTTGCTCCCTTGTGGGACTTGGATGCTGGCACAGTCTCAGGCATGGAAGAACAGCATGGACTGTGCCTCACCCTTTCCAGGACTTTGTGACAATTCCTCTGTTCTGTTTTGTGAGTTTTCCTTTCTTAATAAATCCCTTTGCCCTTTAAGCAGACTCTGTGGATTTCTTGCTTTAGTTGTAGTTACATATCTGTGTTGGAAATGGATTGAATTGTTTTTGCATTTCTCTGTCTTTTTGCCTATATGGTCCTTCCTTGTAAATAATGAAGAAAAGAAGAGACAGAAGGAGAAGGGTAAGGAGGAGGAGCAAGAGGAGGGGGCAAGCAGGAGAAGAGTCAGGAGGAGGAAGAGCAGGAACAGAAGGAGCAGAAGAGGGAGGAGCGGGGGAGGAGCAGGATGAGTAGGAGGAGGAGCAGAGGAAGGAGGAGGAGGGGGGAGGAGCAGGAGGAGGGGGAAGAGCAGGAGAAGGAGGAGTAGGAGAAGGAGGAGGAGGAGCAGGAAGAGGAGCAGGAACAAAAGAAGGAGGAGGCTGAGCAGGAGGAAGAGAACAACACCAATAAGAACAACTACAAGCATTTCATTTGATCCTCACAAATAAACTAGTGATATCGGTTCATTGTTTTACCTTTCAGGGAAGCAAATCTGTAGATCTGCTTGAAGGATGGTGTCCTTGACACCTTTCACCAGCACCAGTCCCAGGATGTTGGCAATGGGACAGAGCTGGACAAGATGCCTTGTCAAGACTAAAGACACAGATGTGTATAACTGGTGGTTCTCAACCTTCCTAATACTGTGACCCTTTAATACAATTCCTCATGTTGTGGTTACCCCCAAACTATAAAAATATTTTTGTTGCTACTACATAACTATAAGTTTGTTACTGTTGTGAATTGTAATGTAAATATCTGATATGTAGGATATCTGATATGTGACCCCTGTGATAGGGTTATTTGACCCCCAAAAGTCATGACCCACATGTTGAGAAACACATAGTTCTAAAACAAATATAAGAAAAATTCTAAAAACTTTTCATCTATTCAAAGGACATGGATCTAATGCTCCCCCAGTTAATAAGAGTAAAATCTAGGCATACAAAGACTCTAATCTGGCATGAAAGACCAGAGAGGAAAATGTGAAGAAACAGAATACAGTCCATCTTTCAGTAGATGAGGGATAGAAAACACATTCACAAACTACATATGCAGCTGTACGAACTAAGAGGAAATCCTCAGTGTCCTATTTCTGCCTGATTTTTGCCAAACTGTTTTCTAAGGTCAGGTTTCTGTTTAGGAATATTCAAGTATTACAATTCTTAAATCTCTGGCAATTGTAAGCTATTGTTCTCCAGTTCAGATCTTTAGAAAACAGTCGTCTACTTAAAATTTTTTAAACACGTCTGTATTTTCCTCTAGACATCTCTAGTTGAGGATCCTCATCAGTGTCTTGTTACCAGTCTTGTTACACTCATCTCATTATCTTCTTCTGCATCCATGACCTACACAGCCCATCTTTTGATAAATGGCACAACCATGCCTACACTCCCGAGTCACAAGCCTTGTTCTCTGGTTAGTTTCTTTCCTCTCTCATCTGTACCTTATTTGGTCCCATTGATATTACTTCTATGATATCACAATACACACACACATACACACACACTCACAGGCACACACATACACACAAGTTCACGTTGCTCTAGCTTCATTACTGTTTTTCCAATTGCTGCAGGTAATAAGGTCTGGAATTCTTGCAAGCTCTCTTCAGAAGACCCCAGGGACAGGTCATGGTTCTTAAGCATCATGCAATTAGCAGTTGCTCCATGAGCTGTCCTGCATCCTCATCCAAGCCACATCACACTTCCTGCAGGCTCCTTCTGCATGACATGCACTTTGCCTACACCCGTCCTCTGTTCTGTTCTATCATTCCTTCATGGCTCCATCCGCAGACACCTAACTCCACTTCTACGCCCAAGTTCCTCTTGCCTTGCCATGGTTATTGACACTGCTATTACTTGGGATCATTTTGGTTATAATTTCCATCCCATGTTTTTCATGTCTTTTCTTTAAAATTAATTTCTATTATTATATTGGCCACTGTTGCAACATTATTATGTACATTTGACAATAAAGTCTAAAATTAATCCACATCTTAATCCTTGACCTAAATAACATAAGAATGCCAAGCACATTTAAATTTAACTCCGTTTAAATTGTAATGCCCACACCTGACCCATATATTATCACTGTCATAAAAGTAAATAAAATAATTAGTTGGAATGAACTTTTAAAGGGAAAAAAAGGAGAGGAGGGATAGGTAACCAGATTTTGTTTTGTTGCCGCTTGTAGCAAGTTAGACACTTTTACACTATTATTTACACTATTATTTCACTCAAGCATCAGGTTATCTCTTGTGGTGCATGAATATCAGAGGGGAAGTTTAGGAAAGAATTACAGAGTCCTTAAGCAGAAGCAAGGTTAGTCTAAAGCAATGAGGACAAAAAATCAGACCAAGGAGATTACTAAGTTTCTAGAAAGAAAATTCACAGGCACTGTGCCAGTGATGGACCCAAACCAGAAAATACTGTCAATATCAAAGAGGAAAAGATTTGTATTTAGGAAGAGGAGTCACTCAACCTTTTGAGTGATAGCATTCTATGTGCAAGGAGGGGATGCAACTTTCAGGGAGGGCATGGAAACTGCTTCTTAAAACTTAGCCTTCAGTTGTCTGCAGGAAGGATACACTATGTCCTCTTGGTTGAGTATTTCTAGTCCTATGAGATAATGATGTTATCTTATACTCATCGTATATTTACATGATCTCCTGAAAAGCACAGCATGTTCTGTGCTGACTTAACATTCTCAAGTTCTCCTTCAGAGTAAAGTATCACAGGACATTTAAACTTCCCAAGAGAATGTTTGACATCTTTAACCATTTTTGTGTCTGCCAGCCAAAATCTGGTCAAATTCTCTGTGACTTCTAATAAATAGCATTAAAAAAAATGCACTTCTCTCCAATAAGGACTCAGGCAATGCCAAGTCAAAATAAGAAGATTACCCCATGGCTTCTGCATGTCATGCATCTATTAATACATCTTAGGGTCATGTTCGCACTTTTAATAATAGCACCAGGCTACTGACTCATATGCGGGCATGTTTCTACTTCCTTCTTACCTACATAATTATTCCCTTTCTTGTGTCAGCTTGGCTTGTTTTTATCTCTATTCCCATCCTTTTTAGCTTGGCCACTTATTTAGGGTTTTCATGGGTCCATTGAATTTTTGCCCTGACTTCCATGCATCAATGACACCACCAAAATGAACATTTTCTTATCTAACTTCCAAAGAATCAGAGAATACATAGGAGTTGGAGAACTCATGTGATTATTTGCAATTACATGGGAAGCTATCAGGTTTGGGTGATAAACAAGCTTGATTTGTCTCCTAATACTTTACAGTCTTTCAGAGACATGGATAAGGAGTCGGAAAACTACAGTCAGTCAGCTGCAGTATAAAAGGAGAGCTATACTTTGAGCATAAAATCATGGATCTAGATTTTGTGACAATATGCTGCAATATCACTTGACTTCCAAAGAGACAGGTACAGGAGAGGGAAAAGACAAAAGAGTCAGAATTTATACAAACACTTTAATCCTTATAACAAGCATGCAAGGTTGTTATAGATGAGGAAACTCGGCATTTACTGGGGAAGCAAACTCCTCTAAGGTTGTCTATCTCTAGTTACTAAGTAACAGAATTAGATTCCAGGCCAGATCTATATGACTCCAAAGTCCATACATCAGACCTTGCTCTGAAATACACCCTGTGCTTCTGATTTGCTGACAGAAACGCCACATGGAAAGTAGTCTAAATTTTCAGAAATGCAGATATGTCTACTACCTCTTCATGTGGCATTGGGTCAAGGCATGCTGACAAACTACCTACAGGTTCATTCTTGGCTCTTCTGGTAACTTTG